GAGAACCGAGGGGACATTCCCAGGAAAGGCATAAGTGTGGAGCCGCTGCGGGAGCACCGTCCATGTGCAGCCCCGTCCACACCATGAGGATGTTTCTCCTGCGTCCACCGAGAGCCCACGAGGCTGGCAGTGTCGGAGGTCTCGTCTCCCCACAACCCCACATTCCCACGTGTCCTGGTGGGATAACATCTCCCACGTTCATGTCCACCTCAGAACGGGGTGTTATTTGGAGGTAGGATCTGCGCAGATCGATCAAGGTCGGCTGTCAGGGGACTTCATCCTGGGCTCAGGAGCCCTGATCCAGCCACTCGCGTCGATCTGAGAGGGGCATGTGGACATACTCACAGAAGGGGAGGCCACGTAACAATGAGGCTGATCGAACCATGCGTCCACGAGCCAAGGACCGCAGGGGACACCAGCAGCATTGGGACACCAGGGGAGAGCCCCTCAGGCCTCCAGGTGGAGGCAGCCTGCTGACACCCTGACCCCGGACTCCTGGCCTCCACCCCCGGGGGATGAGCTTGAAGCCTCCCAGCCCGTGGCTCTCAGGGCAGGCCCGGGACCCTCACACCCCTCTCGCTGCTGACTTGCTGGGCCCTGCCTCTGTCTGCATTTTGTGCCAGGAAGAACTCCATCCCTCCTTGAAGACCACCTCCCCACTGCCTCCTGAGGCCATTCTGAAACGCCGTCTCAAAACTGTGGCTCTGTCCTCTGTCCTCCATGGGTCACCAGCTCCTTGGAGGCCACAGTGTGACCTCTCCCCCATGTCTGGGGGCTGGGTCCACCGCAAGGGACATGATGGTGGATGACAGTTAACTCCTTTCACCGAAGTCAGGCTGGACATACCCCCCCACAACCTGTGAAGACCTCCAAGCTGCTCCTCACGCGCAGCCACGTCCGGGGTTTTCTGGAAGCACCTGCCTGTAAGTATTCTGCAGCCGCACACTCTGCCATCTGTTTTGTCACCCAGTGTGACTCAGAGACGATGAAGTGTCTCACCTTTCCTAAAGAAAGCCGGGGAAATCATGCTGGCCTGATTTTGCAGCCCTGCAAAGCTGGCACGGAGTGGCTGGTTCTGGGGCTTCTGTTTT